CCTCACTCATACTATATCCTAACCTTCACCTCCTCGCACATTATATTCTCCTGATACCAGATTTCGGACGTAACCTAACTAGCACTCTAACCTAACCTCACTCATACTTTATCCTAATCTTCACCTCCTCGCACATTACGTTCTCCTGATACCAGATTTCTGACCTAACCTAACTAGCACTCTAACCTAACCTCACTCATACTATATCTTAACATTCACCTTAACATTATATACTCCTGATACCAGATTTCTGACCTAACCTAACTAGCACTCTAACCTAACCTCACTCATACTATATCCTAATCTTCACCTCCTCGCACATTATATTCTCCTGATACCAGATTTCTGACCTAACCTAACTAGCACTCTATAATAACCTCACTCATACTATATCTTAACATTCACCTCCTCGCACATTATATACTCCTGATACCAGATTTCTGACCTAACCTAACTAGCACTCTAACCTAACCTCACTAATACTTTATCATAATCTTCACCTCCTCGCACATTATATTCTCCTGATACAAGATTTCGAACGTAATCTAACTAGCACTCTAACCTAACCTCACTCATACTTTATCATAATCTTCACCTCCTCGCACATTATATTCTCCTGATACAAGATTTCGAACGTAATCTAACTAGCACTCTAACCTAACCTCACTCATACTATATCCTAACCTTCACCTCCTCACACATTATATTCTCCTGATACCAGATTTCTGACCTAACCTAACTAGCACTCTAACCTAACCTCACTCATAATATATCTTAACCTTCACCTCCTCACACATTATATTCTCCTGATACAAGATTTCTTACCTAACCTAACTAGCACTCTAACCTAACCTCACTCATACTATATCTTAACCTTCACCTCCTCGCACATTATATTCTCCTGATACCAGATTTCGGACCTAACCTAACTAGCACTCTAACCTAACCTCACTCATACTATATCTTAACCTTCACCTCCTCGCACATTATATTCTCCTGATACCAGATTTCTGACCTAACCTAACTAGCACTCTAACCTAACCTCACTAATACCTTATCCTAATCTTCATCTCCTCGCACATTATATTCTCCTGATACAAGATTTCGGACGTAACCTAACTAGCACTCTAACCTAACCTCACTAATACTTTATCCTAATCTTCACCTCCTCGCACATTATATTCTCGTGATACAAGATTTCGAACGTAATCTAACTAGCACTCTAACCTAACCTCACTCATACTTTATCCTAATCTTCACCTCCTCGCACATTATATACTCCTGATACCAGATTTCTGACCTAACCTAACTAGCACTCTAACCTAACCTCACTCATACTATATCCTAATCTTCACCTCCTCGCACATTATATACTCCTGATACCAGATTTGTGACCTAACCTAACTAGCACTCTAACCTAACCTCACTCATACTATATCTTAACCTTTACCTCCTCGCACATTATATTCTCCTGATACCAGATTTCTGACCTAACCTAACTAGCACTCTAACCTAACCTCACTCATACTATATCCTAACCTTCACCTCCTCGCACATTATATTCTCCTGATACCAGATTTCTGACCTAACCTAACTAGCACTCTAACCTAACCTCACTCATACTATATCTTAACCTTCCCCTCCTCGCACATTATATTCTCCTGATACCAGATTTCTGACCTAACCTAACTAGCACTCTAACCTAACCTCACTCATACTATATCCTAATCTTCACCTCCTCGCACATTATATTCTCCTGACACCAGATTTCTGACCTAACCTAACTAGCACTCTAACCCAACCTCACTCATACTTTATCCTAATCTTCACCTCCTCGCACATTACGTTCTCCTGATACCAGATTTCTGACCTAACCTAACTAGCACTCTAACTTAACCTCACTCATACTATATCTTAACATTCACCTCCTCGCACATTATATACTCCTGATACCAGATTTCTGACCTAACCTAACTAGCACTCTAACCTAACCTCACTCATACTATATCCTAATCTTCACCTCCTCGCACATTATATACTCCTGATACAAGATTTCGGACGTAACCTAACTAGCACTCTAACCTAACCTCACTAATACTTTATCCTAATCTTCACCTCCTCGCACATTATATTCTCCTGATACCAGATTTCTGACCTAACCTAACTAGCACTCTAACCTAACCTCACTAATACTTTATCCTAATCTTCACCTCCTCGCACATTATATTCTCCTGATACCAGATGTCTGACCTAACCTAACTAGCACTCTAACCTAACCTCACTAATACTTTATCATAATCTTCACCTCATCGCACATTATATTCTCCTGATACCAGATTTCTGACCTAACCTAACTAGCACTCTAACCTAACCTCACTCATACTATATCTTAACCTTCACCTCCTCGCACATTATATTCTCCTGATACCAGATTTCTGACCTAACCTAACTAGCACTCTAACCTAACCTCACTAATACTTTATCTTAACCTTCACCTCCTCGCACATTATATTCTCCTGATACAAGATTTCTGACCTAACCTAACTAGCACTCTAACCTAACCTCACTCATACTATATCTTAACCTTCACCTCCTCGCACATTATATTCTTCTGATACCAGATTTCTTACCTAACCTAACTAGCACTCTAACCCAACCTCACTCATACTTTATCCTAATCTTCACCTCCTCGCACATTACGTTCTCCTGATACCAGATTTCTGACCTAACCTAACTAGCACTCTAACCTAACCTCACTCATACTTTATCCTAATCTTCACCTCCTCGCACATTATATTCTCCTGATACCAGATTTCTGACCTAACCTAACTAGCACTCTAACCTAACCTCACTAATACTTTATCTTAATCTTCACCTCCTCGCACATTATATTCTCCTGATACAAGATTTCTTACCTAACCTAACTAGCACTCTAACCTAACCTCACTCATACTATATCTTAACCTTCCCCTCCTCGCACATTATATTCTCCTGATACCAGATTTCTTACCTAACCTAACTAGCACTCTAACCTAACCTCACTCATACTATATCTTAACCTTCACCTCCTCGCACATTATATTCTCCTGATACCAGATTTCTGACCTAACCTAACTAGCACTCTAACCTATCCTCACTCATACTATATCTTAACCTTCACCTCCTCGCACATTATATTCTCCTGATACCAGATTTCTGACCTAACCTAACTAGCACTCTAACCTAACCTCACTCATACTTTATCCTAATCTTCACCTCCTCGCACATTATATTCTCCTGATACAAGATTTCTGACCTAATAATAAAAGTAATAGATTCATTTTCTCTAAACACCGAAAGTAATGACGGGACACACTGTATATGAGAAATATTTCATTTGAATTTGTATTTCCGTATTTGTTTTTCCATTTTAGGCTTGCTCGTCACATTGTAATCCGCGCAATTTAGTCAATATGCTTTTAAGGCAGGCACATCTGGTCGTTTTCGATAAGAGGGTTTGTTATCGGACGAGATTTAGTTAACGCACGTGTTTTTTTTATCGCTGTTTAAAAAGTGTGCGCTTAGTTCGGCGTAAGTGGGGACGCGTTCTCTCGAAGTTGCCGTTATCGAGGCTAATTATGATTGGCGCTTTGTCTGTGAAATAGGCTGCTGCTTGCCGATTCGCGAGGAGTTGGAAAGCGTGTACGTTATCGCAAACAGTTGAACCACCAGACTATTAGATTATGAAAAGAAAAAATATTACGATTTTCATGTTTCATTTGTAGAACGCCTGTGTGCGGGGTAATTTGTGCAAACAAGCTTCTCTGTCTTTCAGGAAGTATCAATGTGTCAATCAATTAATTGTGTGTTTATTCCAACCCATTTTGCGACCTTGATAAAGTTTTCATGTCAGATTTTTCTTCTCGTACCCAAAAATTGTGTTGATTAAGGCTCTGAAGTTAAATTTATTTGACCTAACTGGACAGGTGTGTGGTGTAGTTGACCACTTGCCATTGCACACAGCAAATCAATATAAAAAACGAACGCAATTCATGTTTGCACTAAACAATGAAATGTTCGCAGAGTAATTTAATAAAACCCTACGGCTCCATTCTTTTGCATTTAATCTAAAATCGACATTTAGGTCGTACTAATTAAAATATTAAAGCAGTTGCCGAGTGTCCGACCCATTTATTAAAAAATCGGGAGACCTCCAGAAATTCAATTTCTATCAGTCGGACTGTACATTGTCACGCTGTCAATTTTGGCAGCCGAGTATTTACTGACGGCTAACAATCCCGGTACCGGCGTTTACCTTAGCGGAGGTAATTATTTTAATTGATCTCCCGCTGACCGCCGATATCGTCCCAATTGTGTACCTACTGTTATGTTTGTGGCGGCCCCAACTCTCGACTCTGAAGTTAAGCCGAGCGGAAATGAACGTGCACGTCAGTGTTGAAATTGCCGAGTACATCATCGAGAAAGGGCCGTAATTATACGACGTATGTGCTGCTCAAGACGCAGCCCCACATTCCTAAGCTGACAGCTTATCCAGTACGTGTGGCGGTATCCGATACGTTCGCATAATTTCGTAGCGATGTTTAATTACATTCCATGCTCATAGAGCGTTATGGCTGTTGGGGGATGATTTATGGGTCAAACAAACACTCACAGTAGAGTTGTAATCCACACGTTATGTAGGTGCGTAGACAAACAGACAAACCAATATTGATACATAGCTTAATGCCTACCATAAATGCCCGCAGCCGGGATATGATTTGTAAATTGTTTGGTGGATTTGATAATGAATAAGATAATGTTTAAATGAAAACGCCTGTCATGGAAATGAGCGCAATATCAATAAGAGAAAATAAATATGCTAATGGGGGTAATTTAGAATTTAAGTTACATTTTTTACATGCCGCCCCTCTATACTTTCCAATTACGTGATCATGATCTTTTACGTTCCTTTATCATCTTTCTACACATTGCCGTATGCACCAACACCTTAGTCACTCAGTATGGCACACACAAAAATACGGAGATGTCATACGGTCCAGCTCGAATACGACCAGCTGAAAACACGTTTAAAGAAGGGCGTTACAAAAGACGACAACGTGTTTTCTTTGGATCTCCAGGTGCCAGACGGCTTGCTGGAGTTGGTGGTGGCTGGCTGGCTGACTGAACGGAACGCTGAAAGTTCTCCTTTAGCAGGTGGCATTAGAGGTACGTTACACTCCCCCCCCCTGTGTTCCTGGGTCGTCTTCTTCGTCTTGCCAAGCCTTCGGAGCGCGTTCTCCGCTCACGATCTTTCTAGATTTGGATTGCGTCTAAGTCGCTAGTGTTGACTGCGAAGCGCAATTGGCACGTGGTAAACGGTCGGAGTGAATGGTTACATTTATTACATGCTGCACCTCTATATTTCCCAGTTAAGTGATCGTGATCTTCTACTTTTCTACATAATTACCGAGTGCAACGGCATGTGGTCAACTACGCCACTCACAAAACACCCAAAATATAAATAGAAGAGGAAGTGTTTGAATGTCGCCTGTGGCCTTTGGCTCTTCGCCCCCGCCGCCGTGTTTTGACCTTTTTGGGTGAAGTCAATTGGACGAAGTGTTTAAATTGGAAATTGCAGTGTTTTTGACAATTGCAAGGTAATTAAGACTTTATCTATCACCTCGATCGACCCCCTGCGTGCGTGGTATGTGCTACTGACCCTGAGTGCCGATTTTCTTACAGAAATTTTTGAGTAAATTTGAATTTGAGTTAAAGTTACGTACGACGTGACCGTATAATGGAGCTAGCTAGACAGGTGCTGGAATTTCTCCATTTAAGGTCGTTATTTGGGTTGTGTAATTGTCGATTCTACTATTTGGTCGCTTATTAATAGATGGACAGAATTGTTTGAATTAATAATCGAGGAGCGTTGAACAACCAAGGAACCAGTATTCGACGAAAACCAAAATTTACGTACCAAAACATCAATAAGACACATTGTGAAAAAATCCAGCCGATCGTAGTGATCCACTTGACGCACATGTTTTTTTTAAATCCTCTTCTGCAATCCGACTCGGCAAACAGGGCAATGTTATGTAAAACAACATCCAAAAGGCGAGCGGGAGCGATCAATAGCGGCTCGTCATCCTTAATATTGTTTAGGAAGATAGTCCAGGAAAGCTCTGCAGTATGTATAATTAAACTCGCAGGCAGTGTTTTCAATATCCCTTGTTAAATTATTATTAATTTCTGTATAAATTAACGAACCCCAGATTTCGTTCGGCGTGTAAATATCGCGTCGAAGTAAAACAAAGTGGGCTGATACAGGTTGTATTAAATTACACTCGGCGTTAGTATTACGTTAATTGTTGTTTCGGGAAACTCGAAAATGGAAAAGTTAGAGCTGCGGCGAAATGGTCAACAATAGGATTGACTGCATTTGATTTCAGGCTAAAAATACGAATGGAAAATCCAAACAATCGAAATTGGATTGGAAAGTTTTATTCGGCGTAATGGCAAAGTATGGAGTAGTTTTCCTATTGGATCGGCTTAGTGACAATGAAAACGTATATCCGATTAAAGGTGTAAATGGGAGTTTTAAACTAGTAGAGACTCTTTACCACACACATATCAGTAGAATATACTGAGAGAAAACATTTTTTAGCATAAAATCTTTCATGCTTCAAAGGATTTTAAAAATGTTAAAGGCTTCAATGCTCAAAGGGTCTTAAGGCTCAACTATCCCTATGTTTTAAGACTTTGTAAATTCAGCTGGGCTTCGAGTTCTCCAAACCTTAAGGGATTCAAAGTTCCATCAGGGTACCGGTAGGTAATCCAATGCGTCAAAATAAAGTGTATCAGTCTTTAAAGCTTTCAAGGCTTTAAGTTTTCAAGCCGCAGAAAGGTATAAGGCTGAAAAATGATAACAAGCCAGCGGAAGGTTTCACAATTTGAGGTAGTCAAACACAAGTGGTCTGGAACCCCCCCCCCCCCATACCGCCCAGTAAACGACAGCTTCATTTCTATTTCCAGAATGCCACCATAAGAGTGCTCAGAGGTTTGAACATAATTTTCCGGAAATAGTATTGGATTCTGTCATTTACTGGGGGGGGGGGTATAGTTACCCCACAGCCCCCCCCCCGGTTCTATGTTCTCGGCGGTACAGAGGAGAGGATCTCATAATCCTTCCTCAACAACTCTTATGAGACCTGAAACTTAAACAGTGTGTAAAAGAAGGCGTTGTCGGGGGGGGGGGGGGGAGAGGGGATACAATACCCCCCATAAGATGAGATCTGTATTGCCATTTCCAGAATAAGAATGCTCTGAGGCTCGTTTAATGACCCCCCCCCCCCCCCACAGTATAGAGAAGAGGGCCTTATAATCCTTTTCCAACAACTGTAAAGGGAATCCTGAATTCTAAACGGTTTTTGAAGGACCGTGTTGCCCCCCAGTAGATGACAATTACATTGCCATTTCTAGTAACCAAATTTTTGCGGAAATAGTCCTCGATTCTCTCGATTGCTGGGGGGTATTCCATACCCCCCAGACCCCCCGGTTCTACGTTGTCTACAGTATAGAAAAGAGGGCCTCATAATCCTTCCCCAACAACTGTCAAGGGAATCCTGAATTCTAAACGGTTTTTGATGGTTTGTTTTACCGGGGGGTCTGGGGGGTATGGAATGCCCCCCAGCAGACGACAGTTACATTGCCATTTCCACTAACCACATTTTTGCAGAAATAGTCCTCGATTCTCTCGATTGCTGGAGGGGGTATTCCATACCCCCCAAACCCCCCGGTTCTACGTTCCCTACAATATAGAGAAGAAGGCCTCATAATCCTTCCTCAACAACTGTCAAGGGAATCCTGAATTCTAAACGGTTTTTGAAGAATTGTGTTACCGGGGGGTGTGGGGGGTATGGAATACCCCCCAGTAGATGACAGTCACTGGCCCATTTCCACTAACCACATTTTTGCGGAAACAGTTTCGATTCTCTCGATTGTCGGGGGGTATTCCATACCCCCCCCCCCCCACAGACCCCCCGGGTTCTATGGTCTCTCCGACACGGCGAAGAGGATCTGATACTCTTCCCCCAACAACTGTCACGAGACCTGAAGCCTCACGGGTTTGTAAAAGAAGGGGTTTACGAGGGGGTCTCGGGGGTATGAAATGCCCCCTCCCTTCCAGTAGACGACAGCTTCACTGCACTTTCCAGAATGCTGCCATTAAAGTGCTCTGATGTTTGAATTTTTCGGAAATAGTCGTCGATTCCCTCGTTTACCCCCCCAGACCCCCCCGGCACTATGTTCGGTGCGATACGAAGAGAAGAATCTCATATTCCTTCCCCAACAACTGAAATGAGACCAGAAAACTCTAAGGTTTGTAAAAGATAGTTACTGGTGGGCCAGGAGGGTAGAAGGCGTCTCCGGGGGGTTCCATACCCCCCAGTAGACGACAAATTCACTGCCATTTCCCGAATGCCAGTTCTGTGAGGTATGGAGTGTGGAGCAAGGATCATAATCCTTTCCCAAAAACTTTCATGAGACCTGAAGTTTAAACGGTTTGTAAAAAAAGGTGCTACCGAGAGGTCTGGGGAGGGCAGTGGGGGTATGGTAGACAGCAGTTCCATTCCAGAAGGATGAATTGGTGAAAGAACGTGTTTCAATGACAATAACACAAAAGGAAATGGGCGGGAACAAAGAAAAAAGAAAGGAATACGAATGGGATTAAGATAAAGGATGCTAGGGAACAGAGAAACCACATGAGTACTCGCACCAGGAAACATAAGCTACAAGGTGCTAATAATGGAGTAGGTAAGGGAGGTATGGAAAAACACCAAACTAATTACCAGTTTCAGATTCGGGTATGAGGATAGAGAAAAGGAGTGGAGAGAAGAAGAAGAAAGGAGATGCTGACTTTTTGGAGGGAAAGAGGAATCTATTGAACACCTGATATGGGAATGTACAGAAGTTGAAATAATGCGTTTACATACATACATTTATAGCAGGCGACTGACCAATTCTACCTCTTCGTTCGATTCTGTTGCCTTGAGTTAAATTTTTGAAAGAGTTTTATGTAAAATAAAAGCATAGATCCAGAAAAAACTCATATCGGGCAACGATCTGCGGTCCTGATACTACCACTCTGACAATCGAAATCAGAGAATTGTTGACTATACATGACGACCACTGTCAATGTTTGGCAACATTTAGAGGGTCGGCACACAAGTGATGTAACTTACGGTTCTTTATTGGCCACAGCTTGCGAATTGATTTATGGAACCAGTGAATAGATTCTACTCGCGAAAAGAAAAAAACGTTTCCAATAATTCTCTGATCCTCGGATACACTGACAAAAATGGCAGGAAATCTTCCTGTTAAATTCTGAGAAATATCCCGGCTATGTTAGTGAAAAATAATTTTTCAAAACATAATTACATTTCGTGTTAGAAATTCGCCATGCTTATCGTTGGTTACAAAATGGCCAACATTAAGTTATGAACTCTTACGTGAACCTTTTCTTCAGTGTCGTTCATTCTCTGAACCACTATTTTTCTGGTAACTGTTTCCATAGTCTGATTTTTTGAGCAACTAACATGATCCACTTAACTGATTGCGTCTACCACTAGACTACAATCTTTCGATTTATTGTATATCACGTAACTAAAAGATATATTGATTAGAGGAAAGGTCCTGCTATTCCTTTGATTTACTTCAGTGTTTCACGTAGCACGATGGAATTTTTCGAGTGCACGAAAGGACCAATTTTCGACCGAAACATTTCAAACCCTCGCGACACTTTTATCTACGAATATGAAAAAGGTATTCGAAAAAATATGTAGAAAGTGAAATTGCAAGGAAACTCGAGAGATAAGAACGAAACGTCAGCTTCTCGTAATAAAAATTTCATTTTGTCAAAGATAAATTAGCATTATTCGGCCTCGCCGTCAAGACATTCCGAGCGATGGCGTTAATTTCACGCATCATCAGTTTCGGCGCGGGCTAATTGAAGTGTAAAGTAAATAATTAATTCTCGATATTTTCGGTTTTTCCGCACCGTTTGCGTTTTGGCTTATTGATATGGCGCGTTTTCGAAAAAATTAGAATTGGATCGACGATTCGTTCCGGGCGCGTGTTCACGAAAGCGTAAAGGATTAGAGTCGTGTCCGAGGCATGACCTTTCGCGACGTGTGCGACGGTCGGTCTGTCATAAGCGTCTGTGACGCTAG